TAGATAGATATAATACATATATATGTGTTCTTCACAAAGGATTTAGGAAATATGTATATGTGTCTCTAAAATCTTGGAAAATAGCAGTTACCTAAAACCTCCCATTCCCAATAGTAGCTGTCTGTTTACAAGGTGATATTGGTACCTTTTGAGCTTTTTTTTCTTTTTTAAATCTTTTTATATCTTTTTGAGACAGGGTCTCTCTGTTGTCCCAGCTGGCCTGGAATTTGTATACCAGACTGGCCTAGATCTCACAGAGGTCCATCTGTCTCTGCCTCCCAAGTCCTGGGATTAAAGACGTATGCTATCACGCCTGGCTCCCTTTTGAGCTTATTTGAGAAAAGGACTAGATGTGAAGTTTAGACTAGCTTTGAGTTTGTGATCTTCCTGCCTCAGCCTAAGTGCTGAGGTTACAGGCATGACTATACCTGGCTAGTATTTTTTTAGAGACTGGCATTGTTTTGCCACAGCAGGTTTTTTTCCTTTTATGACTGTTCTGCCTGCATGTATGTGAGTATACCATGTGTACAGTACCTACAGAGGCCAGAAGAGGGTGATATATACCCTGGAACTGGAGTTAGGGACGGTTGTTAGCTGACCTGTGGATGTTGGGAACTGAACCTGGGTCTTATGTGAGCAGCCAGTGCTCTTGCCACTGGAGCTATTTCTCCAGTTCTAGGCAAAAAAAATTTTTTTTTTAAGAATATTTTTATTATTCCAGGCTGAGCATGGTGGCGCATGCCTTTAATCTCCCAGCACTTGGGAGGCAGAGACAGGTGGCTCTCTGTGAGTTTGAGGCCATCCTGGTCTACATAGAGAGTTCTAGGCCAGGTCTCCAGGGAGACCCTGTTTCAAAAAGATCCCCCCCCCCCCAAAAAAAAATTTATAATTCCAAAGAGAGGCCCCTTTTTTTCGGTCTTTTTTGAGACAGGGTCTCCCCATAGCCCCAGCTATCCTGGAACTCACTATGTAGACCAGGTTGGCCTTGAACTCACAGAGCTCTGCCTGCCTCTGCCTTCGGAGTGTTGGGACTAAAGGCATGTGCTACCACACCCAGCCTAGAGAGGCAATTTTTAACACATTTTCCAGAATTAAAGCAGGTTACATAAAAATATATATATACAAACTGGGTGTGGTGGCACACGCCTTTAATCCCAGCACTTGGGAGGCAGAGGCA